ACATAAAGCAGGAGCAGAGTAGGGAATCATCAGGCTGGCACACAGCAAAAGCCAGGCTTGAAGAAAGCTGTGGGTGAAGCTCGAACCTCCAGCAGGGACAGTAATACTGTTACATTCCTCATGCTCAAGTCAAGCTAAGCTTGGTTAGCATTGTACTCACGCAGCCCAAAATTTTAATTTCTGCTCTGGTGCTGAGGTTTCCTCTGTTGGCTGTTCCATTGGCTGTTGCAACAAGATTTGTTATYCTTTTTTGAGAGAAAGCTATCCCTGGATCCTAGAAAAAGCAAGAACAAAACAAACAAGCTTACATACAGGGTTAATAATATCACCCCATTGCAGGCTGCACCCCAGCCTGCAGACTGCTACTCTGTGCATGTCTTGTATTTGAATTCATCTCATTAATATTACTCATTGCCTGCTTTCTTTGTGCTCCCTGGACTTGCATGTTYCACACTGGATGAAGCAACCTTCCCTTTGTTAACTGTTAACCCTCTCTGGGTATTGGACTGTGCTGTTGCTTTTTAGATCTAAAGAGAACCTGGCCACCACTATGGCTGGGGGTATGAGACAGCAAGCTGCAATYACCCCAAATTCTCATTATTCCATGTATTTACCATTTCTGCAGGGGGTATATGACAGAGAGTGTTGACAAGGCTTTTAACATTAAAAACTTCTTGTACAGAATAGAACACTGCCTTCCCAGAACCTTCAAACCTATTAGACACAGTGAGGACTACAACACCAAGTAAGGATTTTAGTAAAGGGCCTTCAGCCTGTCCCAGTGCTGCTGCCCTGCAGCTTCTGCTGTCTTTCCTGCTGAAATTTGCCCACTGACCCTGCTCCAGGAACAGCAGCCTGGGGCACAGGAACAGCAATGGAAAGTTGYTGCAGCCATTTCCCCAGTGAACACCCACAAAAACCTTCCCTGCAGAAAAGCTGGGCCTAAATGAATCATTATGAAATAACAGCCACAGGTTTGGGATATGTCCATTTAGATAAACAGATGCTGGAGATCTCCCTTGGCATTTCAGCCCCWGGTACTCTCAAGAGTTATCAAGATGTGTATTACACTTAGGCAGTCCATTGGGTGGTTTATGATAATGGCATCTAAAAGTTTCTCCTCTCTCCTAAGGCTGTCTTCCAGTCTCAGGGAGGGAGAACATACATTAAGAAAGGTACCTTTTACATAAATTATTTTTTAAATAAAGTGTATCTCCTATAGAGTGCAAAACATTTAATTACTATTATTTTCATTTGTAGAAAATAAATTGACTAGAGAACTCTTAAATACTTCCCAATATAGTTTTTCTTTATATATACATAGATACATACAATATATATATATATATATATACACACAATTTTATTCTATTTGATTCTTGAAAAGACTTATTTTTCCAATCAAAGAACAGCAGAATTTCTGAAATCATTAGGTTGTCTGTTCTGAGAGATAGAGCAGAGGTTGAGTGAACTGCAGACATGCTGAAAAGGTTACAAATAGCTTAATTACAAACATGTGAAAACTGGTTACGTCTTTTCTCCATCTCTCTCCCCCTTTCCCCTGCTTCTGTACATGTGTAATAAATACATTTACAAACATTCACAAATAATTGCAGTGAAGCAACCTTTAATGATATGGACTTAATCAAAATTAACCTTTAGGCATCACTGAAAAACAGCACAGCATAAAATCATTTTCCTGCCTAAACTCATGCTTCTTTTTTTCTAATCAGTGACTTGCAAATTTAGACAATATTTGACGCATTTGGATTCCAGAAAGGAAACATCACGTTCCAGCTCACAGTTCACCAGTGACCACATACAGTAATTTCTGTAAATTACAAGGTGTCTGACAAAGGAAGAGAACAAGCAAGTAAGCAATGCCTCTCTTTAGAGTTACTTCTGAGGATTTGGTACAACTTCCAACTTTGCATGATGGTGACAGGCTCTGGTTTTTTTTTTCCAGATACCACCAATATTGCTCAAAGCCCCAAATTAACACACACTGATGTTGAYTTAAAAGTACTGTGTACATACCACTACATAAATATCTATGCAAAATAAAAGTCCATGTCCCATAAAATAGAAAATGTAATAGAGTCTATTGGGCAATGCATACAGGCATAGCAATAGTTTTATACCTATATAAACATAGTTCATATTATTTACAGATGGAAATGGAGACAAACATTATCATTGATTTAATGAATCTTTTGAAAATTTTCACTTGCAACTAAATGATCTGCAACTCCAGCTACCTGGAAAAGTAAAGTGCTCACAATCCATTTAGTGCAATAACCCTGGTCACAAAACTTAAGAGGAGAAAAAAAATAAAGAACCAATACCACATTAGCCGGGGGGACCAAATAAAAAAAAATAAAATATTTTTTTAGTTTAAAAGTTTGAGAAGAGAATTTAAGATTACAAAGCAGACTAACAAGGAAAGTTCTCCAAAGTCAAATCTTTAGATTGTCAGAAATCAGAAGTGCTAAATGTCATTCCTCATGCTATTTTGTCCCAGCTTTGTCCTGAACATTCTTGGAGACAGCTGTCCAGTAATAAGGGAAATGGCACAGATATTCCTGCAGATGTGACACTATGTAAGCCCAGACAAAGAAATGAAAGATGAATGTACTTATCAATCTGACAGCTGACAGYCCTTTGTCTCTGAGTGCTTGACTTCATAATTTCAGTAATATTCCTCTATTTAAGTCAATATTGARTAACATGAAACTTGCTTCTAAAAAGTAATACTTGGGAGCAGATGATAAAAATGAGGGGTTCTTACAAGGTAAGTACTATGCATTCAGCACTGGATTACAATAACCCACAACAGCTAAAGATTACACAAATTATTTCACCTTGGCAGATGAGAATAAACTTAGGTGAACAATGAAGTACAACTTATTTAAAAGGAGTGACTCTCCAGAGAAAACCTTTCTTCTGAGTCTAGGAACCAGTTGAGCACRTACAATCTCTGCAGGGATGCTGTGCACAGCACATCTAAACASCAAAATGCCCATCAGCCTTGGGAAACATTGGCAGCCTACCCAAATACGGAGGCAGACTGACAGGGATTTTAGAAATAGTTTATTTCTGGATTAAAATTACTTCCTGGCCTTAACTAGAACTTGTACAAATTTTCACATATTACCACCTTCTAAAATCAGAATAATTAGGAAATCTCACAGATAATGAAACCCAAAGCCCTTTTACTGGTTTCACTGAGTTGTGGAARATGCAGCTCTAGTTGACAAGCATTAATCACTGATCCCTGAATAGACTTCAGAATGTCCCAAGGTAAAACYGTATAAACAAGAATGATGTAATACAGGCTTTCATACAAATKATTCTTCTTAAGARTAAACTTGACAGTAACCTTCTGCCSAAGGGAGGTTGATGGGAAAAGACCTTTCTCCTCAAAGCTGGGTTATGGACAACTGCTAAGTTGGATTATGGACAAATGTTCCTGCTAAATCATCACAACCCCTTGTAGTCTTAATTAAAAATCTAATGAGGGAGGAAATACGCACGTATTGGCAAACATCACCAAGAGCACAGCCAGGACCTCCAGACAGGGATGTGGGAGCCAGGCCACGGTGCTCTCAGCCCACAGGGGAGTCTTGTAGCAGTTCTGCTGGTGGGASCTCTGTGCACCCAGAAGCCCATGGCACTTGACAGAGGACTTGCACCACCCAAGCAAGACCAGTCACTCAGCCTTCCAAAGTTCTCAAAATCACCCTTCAGAGCCAGGCCTGCCATGGGCAGAGGCTGCAGGTTGGATGTGCAGAGGCCTCAGGAACCACCACTGCCCTTGGTGACCAAGGCTGCTCTTTACCTTCTGCCCCCCAAAGTGGCAGGTCACCATTCCCACGGTGGCAGTCTCTGCAGCAGGGTATGCAGCTCAGCAGCTCTGCCACTCGAGAGAGTGTGGCTGTCCTGCCCAGGCACCAGACTTTCAGGTCTCCTGCCTCATGCTGGACAATACCAGTCATCCCTGGGATGACAGCACCACGAGGCAGCTGGAGGGAATGGCCCCACCACTTCCTGCTGCTGTGGCCCCAGGGGCACGGACAGGCCTGTGCCAYCTGAGGGGAAGGACAAGCAGTGCCAGGCACCACTGACTCACCCTCACCTTCCCACAGGCGGGAGAAAGCTCAGCAAAGCCAGTGCAGACCTTTCTTTCCACTTGCCAAGCCCACTGCTGCCGTCCCAGGGGTGCACAAGCCCATTCTGTCACGACGGGGAGGCCAAGGGTGAAGCAACGAGGCAGCAGAGGCTGTGGCAGCATCTCCCGTTTATTCGTTCCGYGCACGGGGCAGGAGCGGACGCTGCTCCTCGGCAGGTGGCAGCTCCTCCGGGGGCAGCAGCTCATAGGTGACACAGAGGGAGGAGAAGAGGCAGCCCAGGAAAGACACCAGGCTGGAGAAGTACATGGCACTGCTGGCGCTGCCCACGGCCGCCGTCAGCGGCCCCATGGCCAGGGCCACGAGGATCTGCGCCAGGAAGTACTGGCAGCTCAGCAAGGAGATGTCAACGCCCATCCCACGCCGCGTGCCCTCCGCCTGCGAGCCTACRAACTGYGGGGACACAGCCACAGAATGAGGGGGTGCCAGGGGGCTCCTGGCCCCTCCCCGGCCCGGGGCTCACCTCTCGGCTCTGGTAGTAGTCGCAGAGCAGCGAGTAGGGCAGCGTGCAGAGCGTGGCGAACAGGATGCCGTAGGTAGCGCACAGGGACAGCAGCACGTAGACGTTCCTGGAGAGCGTGGCCAGGCCTGTGCCCAGCCCGAAGGCCAAATATGCCACAAAGTACAGCGTCCGTGTGCTGAAACGCTCCTCCAGCTTCTCCAGCATGGCTGCAAGAAAATAGTACAGCTTTCGGGGTGAACTGCAGCCCTCCCCACTGCCACCGGTCAGTGGGGCTGAGGGGTCCACCTTTGGTCAGGCAGCCACATCTCAGTGGCTACCACTACACCTCTGAGGAATTGGTGGCTTGCACTCGAGTGCCAAGGACCCCTTCCAAATTCTTCTGCCACAATGCAGCATTCTGCCCTATCTGCACAGAGGGCACAGCAGAGCTGAAGGCTGGCAGGGCCCCTGTCCCAGATGGGAATGGTGGGGGTGGGCAGGCAGAGGCATGGCACACATGACAAAGTGCTAGGATGGCACAKGACACTGAGTGCTCTGCCTGGGACACACAGGCACTGGGTGCTCTGGTGTGCAGAACTGTGCCTGTGGTGACCACAATATTGCTGGATTCAAGGTGTATCGAAAGTGCCACTTATGAAAGGAATCACATCCTGAACGAGATGTGTTTTCACTGCACTGCTGACCTCACCTGCTGTCAGTGCAGGTCAGCTAACTAGCAGAGGTAATAGGGTGAAAAAGAACTCTGCTTCAGCACTTGGGTCATGTCGTAGGCTATATGCAACATAAACACTGGGCTACTTGTTGCAGAAACTCCACTTTTAAAAAATGTGTGTGTCTTTTCCCACAGCAGTAGTTAAGAGGGCTGTACCAAGTACCTGAATAGAAAGCAGCACTGAATGCATAGATGCACATTCCCCAGCAGCCCATGGTGACCCCAGTGTTGTACTTCTGATACTCATCTGAGTTGTGAGGTGCTTTTGGGTTCCCTTGGAACACTACTTCTCCCATGAAGTCAGTGTAGAAGAGCAACATTCCCTCAAATGAAAGCCACCCTGAAAGAAGTGAGAAGCAACCTATTAGGATTTCAGAATATCTCTCCCTTGTAYGCTTACATGGATGTTATCAGCTATATTACAAATCACACCCTAGGACAGGTTGTGCAACCTGAGAGTTACATAACATCCAGCCACATTTATCTGAGACCCGCTGCTCCCCATGCATAATGCTGCAATGTTTGTTAAAGACATTCAGGCTTTTAAAGACCAAGATTTACCATTTGAATTCCTAAGTGGAATCCTAGAGGCTGACTAAAGGCCACAAAATACTGGTTTAGCAAGACAGAAAAATAGATGACAGCAGTCTGAGCTGCCTTCAGGTTCTGACAGGACACAGCACTCAGTTTAACAGAGTGGCTCATCCCACAGTAATTTCAGGTTGCTGTTATCCTCCCACATAGGACTGGAAGGAGTGCTTCTTAGGCATGGCTGCAGCCTTTGGAGTGCCTCTGACACAGTTAAAAACTCTACTCACAAATGGGCACCAAGGCCATGGATGTAGACAATCCCTTAATTTCTTTAACAGACAGCGAGTATTAATTACCTKGTCCCTTCTGTTCAATTTTATGTAAACTGGAATGATTTGCAAGCCCTTCCCAAACACCAGTCACACAAATTGGTWAAGAGTAAAGGTAGCACTATACTGSTTACAGGAGCAATGCCACRTTCCAMACCTCCTCTTGGCCTGCTCTGGGACCCCTGTACGTGAACTGGGGTCGGGGAGGAAAGTAAATGCTAGTCCCAGGATGTAAGCATGGAAATACAACTAATCTCATCTTTCTGCTTGGTTTGAACATTCCACTGAAAATATGCTGATTTAAGCTGTTGTTCCCTTTATAGGAACACAGGCTTTACTGCTTTGTTGGGGTGTTTGGGTTTTTTTTCCTTTCTAAATGTTCTAAGAAACTCAGTMTCAGAAGGGTACCTTACTGGTAATTGTATATTGAAAAAATCAAGCTGTCTCTAGTTAGCAGCCATTGCAGTGCCAGATAAAATACTGAAATACAATAATAGATGATATAATCATATAATAATATAATAAAATACTCTACTTGGGATCACCCAAGGCAGAGTACTTCCTSGTGAAGGCAAGGTGGCCCTTTGGGAGTACCTAGGAAGTGGTTGATGCAGAGGTTACGGAGAGCCTTGGGCATGTGGCAGATGGTGGAGCAGAGCAGCTTCACGGAGAGYGGCTGCTCCGAGGTCTCTCCTGATTCATTCAGCTCACTCTCGTACTTCACACCRTTCAGCAGGATATTGGCAACCTGCAGGGTAAGAACTGCCAGGTCAACAAGCACAGTAAGGGGAACACAAACATCCTTCAAGCAGATGTACGCAATATTGCACAGCTATCTGATCATCTCAAAGTTAAACGCTGCTGCTGGAGTATGTTGACTTGGAGATTAAGAAGTGTATTGAMTAGTGTCAAATGGAAACACTGCCCTGTAGCTTTCAGTGTACTTGAAACAGTTCACTAAAGTACCTGGCAACCTCATCCAGATGCACAGGCACGGCAGGAATGCATAAATTCGATTGYATTTATAGGAGCTGTGCCCACTTTTGAGTGAATATGGATCCTGAAGTTTTAGAGACACTGAGGAGGAAGAGGATGGGTTTAATTGAAACACATTCTTATTGCTTGCTATCCTTGATGTTCAACCTCAATGTGCCCAGTATGTAAAATCCTGGCCCTAACGAAGTCTGCTCTCACAAACTGGGTCAAACTATAGCAACAACAAACAAAAAACACCACCCCCCAAAAAAAATTAAAATAATAAATAAATAAATTCCCAAACCAAACAAAAAAGTAACATAGGACAGTTTACCTCATCCCAGATCATAAAAAAATGGGCCAGCATGCAGAGGTCTCAGACATTCCAAGTTATCACCAACAGTGGGAGGTGAGGTCAGAGTCTTATCCCTCAGTAAGGGAAAGCTCCCCTCCCTGATGGAGCCAGATGTAATGACTGCCATAAGGAGAAGCTCATGGGAGAATCCTATCCCTGGCCCTATTTTGCAGGTCTTTCTGTGGAAAGGGAAGATACAGGCTCAATAAAAATGTGACCTTTTCTGCTTTCATGTGGTAGCTCCCTTGGTAGTGAAGCAGGACTAAAAATACTGACCTAACTCTCACACCTGGCCCAGTTAAGAGTGGGACATTCCCATTTCTGCCACCTTAAAAAAGGCAGCTGACAGCCTGTCAGTCACAAATCACATTCTGCCCACTACTTTACTGATACATTCATAGCAGGTGTGCTCTTCCCATAATGACTTTTATGAGGAAGCTGTCACAAGAGTCTTTAATGAATAACTTGTGCACCACACGTTTAAAACTATGAAGAGATTAATTATGCTCATGTTTACATGGTCATATCATTGATTTCCTGCTCTTACCTGTTGGCTGAAAGTTACATTTCTTCTTCTGTTATTCTCTGGGCATTGTCCTGTTACAGCATCTGGAATGGCCAARGTCTGAGGTCTTTTCAAGATCCCCGATGACCGTGGCTTTATTGCATCCAGCGAGCCCACTCTCAGTACATCACTGTCAGGSCCTGAGGTTAAGCTGCTCTCCCCTGGCTCCAGAATTCCATTTGCTCCATGGTAACAACCATCAGGMACCCGAGGAAGGCTGACACTGACAGGCTGCCTGGACAAACTAGTGGGAAGTGCCATGTAACTACTGTGCCCACCTGTAAAACAGTCTATAAGCACACTGTCAATATTTGAAGTCCCAAAAGATGATGCAAACTCATTAATTCCCGTCAAAGAATTGTCTCTGCTGATAAAACTCCCATATTTTGGCGTGAGTGGGCTCATGGGGGAAACGGGACTTGTAAAACTTGCATGTAAGTTAGCTGAGTTATTAGAAGCAGAGTTTTCATTTACATTGTCCTCAAAGAAGAAAGGTGGAGAAGGAGGGAGAGGAAGACTTGGACTTTTCATCACCTTTTTCTTCTTGTTAGAGGACTTTAAGGGTCTCTCTGGAATGCTAACTAGAGTCAGCACGGTAGCAATAGTCAGTACAACTGAGGTGAAGACATAGATGACACGAAGTTGCCCTCCTACAGCTTTTCCAAAACTGGTTTTATCCCAGTGTATTCCTCCAACAACATAACCAAAGCCACCTCCAAGACCTGGTGGAAAAACAGAGCTAAGATTATCTTCCCTATCCATGTAGCAGCACAGCAACAGCATCACTTCTCTAACGAATCATGAGTAGAATCTGACATTTCTGTTTTACCATTTGACTCCTTTTCATTTCAAATGTACTTGTAAACACAGCTGTGCCACAAGWACAGTCTGGATGTACCAACATGGTACAGAAAGAGGGAGAAAATGCTGTGAAAGTGATGATACAAATAATTAAAAATTATAACTTTTCTTTGCCAAGAACAAAACACCTTACCTTTAGCTATTTCAGTCCGTAAACAGAAGTGTCCACCAGCCTTGTGACAAGGCTCTGCAATCATTCAGCTAAGACTGTTTTCCTGAAAGTGAAAATCCATTTTCCTCATATGAGGAACGCTGATCTAACTGCATCCAAGACAGATCCAATCACTTCAGAAGCGCAGCAAGCTCATTACTCAGGATTGAGTAGACAGTGCAGGAAAACTGCCACTGCTTTACTACTGATGAATATGGGAGTTTTGAGAGCACCTCTCTTTCTCCATTCACATGGTAAAAGCCTACAACACTCTCCTCTCTTACTCACAAACACATTCAAGAGTGTGGAATAGTCTCCAGAACAGGGCAGTACAGCAATTGAAGATGGCAGCAGTGAGGAATCACAGCATCAGTATGCACTTTCGCCTCCAACACAGCAACTAAAAGACACATATTCCATGCCTGCAGGAAGCTAAACCTCCTCCCTCAAGGGATAATTTTGTTTCCATTGGTGTTACAAAATATGTGAGGGACCTTCAGACAAATAACCCAGGACTGGACCTTGTTTGAGCTGTGGTAGTTACAAAAGCGTTTTGCAAAAAAAGTGGGGTTTTTTTTCACAGTTAATTAGTGATACCTCTCTCAGTATTTGATCATTATGCTTATTCAGGAAAAGACCAGTGATTTACACCCTGCTTTCTCACAGCAGAGCTTGTTTACTTAGGGTTCACATCTCACAGGCAGCACCAAGAAAACATACCTGCTAACAAAGCRTGGATGTTGAGGCCCCTGTCTTGATCCACGGGGCTGCACACATCCATCATGTAGGCATGACTGGGATTGTCTGCTGARTCCGCACTGAAGTCCATGAGGACAACACCACAGACCGTAAGGATGATCCCCCATTTGTGGTTATTCTCAGTGTCAGACAAGGCACTCCCTATATCTTTGCCATTCAGCATAAGTGAGAGCCCAAGCAACGCTCCTGGGAACAAAACCAAATCAAAATCAGTCACTGTCTGTATGCAAAAGAAGCCTGCAAAGCTTCAGGCTCCAAAAACATTATTCTACCTGTACAGCCTTGCAGCAAGCACTAGGAAATGAGCATGGCTTACAGACACACATAATCCTTTTCTACTACTAAAACTTAACAAATGTCCAGTTTGYTTTGGCCAAAAACATCCACATTCTTGACCCTCCAAACATCATCCCTTCAGACTTTGGGAAGCTTTTATGTGAGGATCTCCATGTGCCAAAGCATCAGCTCAGTGTCACTCACCCCCTTCTTCAGACYCACAATACCCAACACCTCAGGAGCATTTTGGTCAGCTTAGTGCCACAGRGAGTGTCACAGAAGAGAGATGCACATTTTTAAGTGTTATGCCCATCATTTCAAAAAGACACACCTACTGCTAAGACCAGAATGAAAGGTCTTCTCCTCCCRAATCTTGATGTGCATCTGTCACTCCACGCTCCCAGCAAGGGCTGTAGCAAAAACCCTAGAAAAAAGGAATCACCAATGAACAGGATTTTTCTACAAGYCTGTCTCACAGAAAAGCTAAAACAGGTGCACCTTAAAAGGCACTTAAAGACAGGACACCAGAGTGTAGTGACATCCCCAGCCAGCACTGGTCACCCAGGGGCACAGTCTGCACACTGCCTGGCATTGCCCAGGACAGGGACTGAATGACATAATGTGCTGCTGCTCACTGCAGGGCACTTCACTCTGCATCACTAACACTGAGTTTGACCCCAGGTGAAGAGTCAGAGTAAAAGTTACACRTTCTTAAGCACTCTATTCCTTACAAGCTATTTCATTTATCCCATATTAGATGGGAGATCTCCTGCAGAATTAGCTTGTTAAACAGCAGGAAGCAAATATGCAAAGAGGAAAGGTGCCAGGATTAATCTGTGCCAGCCTGCTAGGAGGGGCYTATCTCTTCTTCTGAAGCACGTGTTGTGAGTACAAGAACAGGCAGAACAAAATTTTCCAAGTGGTATCCATAGTAATGGATCCACTCCCAGCCCTGCCTCCATGCTAAGGCAAGCAATCCAGGGCCCATATCAGTAGTGATCAATAGTCTTTCATCATTGGAACACCTCATTTATTGCAGAAAGTCAATCAGGAGAAATCAATCCCACTCTGCTTTTCTTCACACACCCTTGAAAACTGTATCAGTATGCTTTTTTCCATAGGGACATAAATGGATACACTGATCTTCTTAGGCTTGTTTTTAAATACAGGAATAGACCAACCAAAGCTTACCCTCACACAAGTCTGAAGAGGTTGAGAAGTTATTAAAAGAATAGATSTTTCGAKCACATTTGGCTTATTTCAGGCAAGRYACACCAAGAATTACTCTCTGGTTTGTTTGTCTAAAATTATGGTTAGTGCTTCTTAACCTTGAGAGAATATACTCATAAACAGCTGAGGTACCACAAAAAGAAAAATTTAAATTTAAAAAAAAAAAAGTGTAGTGGAAAAAAATAAAGAGGGAAGAAACACACCAAGCAAAGTTACCTAATATAGGGCTGATGAACCACACCATTCCATACAGCTGGTCTGGAAGTCCCATCTGGAGCAGCACAGGGGTMACATAGGCTGTTTCCATAGCATAGCTGAATTCAAGCCCAAAGAGGATGCACCCATTGAACAGGAGTTCCAAGAATGACCTCTGAGGCTGAAGATCCCCAAAGTCAATCAGATCAATAGGACATGGGGTATTKGGTGGCGGTGGCGGCGAAGGGCGGATGTGTTTCCTCCTTTTTGGATGTCTCTTGAAGTTGTTGGCCCGATGACTTATGTGCCGTGTGGCCAGTCCAGAATAGCCCGGAACAGGCGACCTCCAGACTTCCTGAGAAGCCACACCTGACAAGAGTGCAGCATCGCTGACAGGGCTTGGAGCAGATGGTGGAATCATCATGGGTAGGGGTCTGGAAGACAAATAGCTCAGAACAAAATGGTTGAGTAAAAACACTCTTCTTAATTTCTTTTACTGAAGTTCAAATCACTTCTCAACTTTTCACATATGGAGTGCAGTCTTTTTGTTAGTTACAAGCTCTTCTTTCCATCTCTTGACTCAAGGTATTTGTGTTTTATGGGCATTTTGCATCTTGCACAAATGAGACACCAGAGGTACTGTCCAGCTTACATAGGTATTGCCTACCATCACGGGGGATTAAGACTGAAATACTTCAAACAATTAACAGTCAAACATGTCACACTTCCCAGTTCCCAATGGGTCAGCAAAGGGTTTACATTTATGTAGAATTCACTTGAGTTAAATTCACTCAAGATAACAAAATAAATCACCATCTCAGTCTAAGTTTACAATAACACAAAGCTGTTAKTCCAGACCCTTGCTGCAATATGAAAACACTTTGGTAAAAAATCCTTTTGCTATTGACCCTACTACTCCTGCTGCCTGAGATGAGCTAGGGCCAAGATTTAATGCAAAACCTTTTTCTCAATGACCAAGTTTGGTTTTATTCCTATTTCCATTTCTGAATTCAGAAAAGATATCTCCACTGCAAGGACAGGGTCAATCCTAAGGAACTGAATCATGAGAAGAAGATACATACCCCAAAATCCACCCTCTGAACTGCTACTCCCCTTTCAGTGCTTAATGGTACTCAAGTGCTGAATYGGCTCCTTGGATCTCATCAGAATCACTCCTGTAGCCAAAGCATGCAGCGTGGTGGGAAAAACAGCCAAAATGGGTTCCAAAATAGCATATCTGATAGATGCCAACAGATCTGCTGCATAACGAACCACATGTGATTTCTTGCCTCTTTTTGCCAGAAATGGAAACTGCTCATGAGTGAAGGCTGACCTTTTCTTTATGCCTCCTTGCCCACGGACTAAAGCTGCTGCTGCACAAGGATGGCTCCACATCACCCCGTCTCTCTTCTGAAAACCCTCACAGCTGCATGCTAGTGAGTAAAACAAGCCTCTTACTTTTACGGATTACAGTTCCCCTGGGGAAAAAACTCCCAGCTCTTCTACTCTTTGGCTGTACAGAACTCCCTTAAGTCTCATTTTTTTGCTTCTTTCTCCACCACATTTCACACACTGRTCTTTCTTCCTGTAGCCCTTAGTCTACACAAAGCCACAATTTATTGCATATCCCCAAACTACCACCAAAAGCAGAACTCCATAAGCCCATGTTTACCATCACACTGACCCAATAGCTGCTGAGCTGATGGATGATGCTGACAGAGAGCCAACCCCCAGTTACATGCAAGGATCCAGAGACAGTGCACAATACAGTATCCTCCAGTGTTTCCTCCAGACTGCTTCTCTTCAGAGTAAGATGCACATCATGTAAGAGAGAACAGACACTTCATAATTCCCTTGACAACCCTCACCTCACATGCACCRACAGCAAGCTGCATCTTGCTGGGAAAGCTCATTGGCCACAAACCCACACAGGGACCAGCAGAAAGAGAAGCATATGGAGACTTCATGAAGATGTCTGTACCAGTGTTCCCCTTGACAGTTTCTGCAAATTACTGAGAACTTTTTATGATCTATCTCTCACAAGCAGAGTACTTACTTTGCAGAGCACCTTTATCAGCCTCCAGGATAAAGTAATTTCCTCACAATGRCAATTTGTTAAAAAAGAGGAAATACCTGAAAGAAGACATAATAAAAACCCAGTTAGATTCACAGCAGTTGCTCTAACAACCCTTTCACAGAGCCATGACAATGAAGATGCCCTAGCAGTCTCTTTTGCTACTATTATACCTTGCCATTTAAGCACAGGGTGTTATCTCCTTATTTCCATCTATTAGATAAATTTCATACAAGATCCTCCTTTACATTCCTGGTCTGTACTGGGTATTACAAAGMGATTGCATTCCAAGTCATAAGTGCAACGTTTTAGTGACAGAAGGAAAAACCCTTATGCATGGCTCAAAAATACACATGGTGATCTGCAATTACTTTGAATGAAAGGTTATTATTGACAGGACGCCAGTGGTCCAGCAGAAAAAAATCAGTGTAAAACGAACTGAGCCTCTATTCTTCATCACCCATTTTCTACAACTTACTGGTTGTTCACAGGAAGACATCTCAAACATGCCCTTAGGTGAATCTACCTGGCAATCACAATAGCAACAAAGCAGGAAACCTCTCCTTTAGTGTGGCTGTCAGCTTCACTATCAAGAGTTATTTGTAATTCTTGGCACTCGACGTTTGTTAYACCAACAATATACGTGTATCAAATACGTTGGTTTGTTATTCCAACGCACATCACAATCTGGAAGGCGATGCTGACTCTGCTGTCCGCACAAACGTGTGCGCACAGGCAATGTGCTTGGCAGGCAGGGTCGCCTGCCCTCACCGCTCGTCCTGGGCACCGCTTCTCCGAAAATAACTGTTTACTGTTTTAGCAGAATCTGTTTCCAATTTTTCTGCGTCGGGCACCGAGCGCTCCACAAACCCCACAGACAGCAGCGCCGC